ATTATTTGGTTTGGCTATGTGATAAATATTGGATTGAAATTAATTTCTAGAAGTTTCGAGTTTGTTCTCGACAATTTTATTTATTTATTAAAAAAAAGATTTGTATAAAAAAATTTTTTTTTTCTTTTAGCCATGTAATTATGAATGGCATACATCAGAATGGTCAAAATGTAGTACGGAATGTGGTCATGGACATAATTCAAGACGTGTGGTATGCGCTATCCATCAGTTAGGTGATCTTGCAGTAAGTTTTTTTTTTTTTTTCTTCTTCCTCTTCTTCTTCCTTGATCTTTCTTTAATAAATGAAGGGAAATTTTGATTAGCCTGATTTTGAGTTATTCGATATATAAATTATTAGTAATAATTATTTTAGTCTTTATTGTTCATTTACTTTATTTTATTTCATTTTATTTTTTTATTATTGTAGCAATTATTTTGACTAAATTTTTTATGTTAAGCTTTTTTGAAGAGCAATATAGAAATCTTTTGACCTTTCAACTTTTTCATTTATAGGTGGTAGATGATGGACATTGTAATTTAAAGAATAAACCAGAAAAAATTAAAAATTGTACAAATGAAGAGAAATGTAATGGAACATACTATACAGGTCCATGGAGTAAATGTTCAGCTGAGTTAGTTTTGATTAATATTTTATTTTGTGATTGAGTAAAAGTTTCGGATATTTTCTTGCATAATTCTTTCCGGAAATAAATCATTGAATAATATTGTAATAGGTAAAAGAATTGCTATAGTAGCTAATTTAGATGTGGTGGCGGAACGCAGTATCGAATGATTGTTTGCTTAAATTATGATAAAAAACCTGTTCCGGAATGGTGTGATGAAGCGGAAAAACCACCAGAGGAACAGGAGTGTAACGTAGAAGCTTGTCCAAGTATGGGTTATTTTTTTCAAGGTTGTCCAAGTATCGGTCATGCATCTATGCATGCGGATCATGTCACCACCGAAATATGGATCTCGAATGATATTTTAAACTGTAGTAATATTTCAGATAAAGAGGTATATTTGCAAATTAATTTTAAATTAGAATAATTTAGCATGCGATGATAGCGAATTTGGATGTTGTCCGGATAATGTAACGATTGCAACCGGTCCATATTTGGCGGGATGTTCAAACTGTTCCAGTTCCATGTTTGGCTGCTGTAATGATAATATAACGGAAGCACAAAGCATTAGCAGAGAGGGATGTGCCGAATTCGTTGAGATTGAAGGAAGTGGTGAAGAAAGCGAACAATTCGTTAAATCTCGGTTTTCCTTTTATTCCTTCTAATTTAATGTTTATTTAATCAGATAAGAATTATCAACTCTTAACACCTTTTTATTAATACATCCAGACCGAATATATTAGTAAAAAGAATAATCAGAAATAATATTGAACTTAAGTTTTAAATTATATAATACTAATGAAAATCGAAAGAAGCTGTTACTTCACTGACAATTGCGCCTCAATTCTAATAAAAATTGAAAGAAGCTGTTATTTCAGTGACAATTGCGCCCAAATATCGAAACAATTGTCAAAAATATAGTGCAACTAAGATCAAAAAAAAGTGTTCATTTACTTTGACCCACAGCTAATTATCATCCAGAGAAAAAAAGACAAAATAAAGCAAATGCAAATTTATTAATTAATCTTTGTTATCAGAATGCTGCTAGGAATTTAATGATAAATTAATTTTAATTTGCAGTGAGGATGAACTTTGCGAAGTAGTAAATGATGAAACTGGTGAGAAAGCAATGATTGCATGTGGGAATGATACCATCGATAATAGAAGTGGTACCATCGATGCTATTGAAAAATTATTGTTAGATGTTGAAGACTTATTTTTCAATGGTACTTATGATAATGAGACAAAACATTGCACGCAAACAGAATTTGGTTGCTGTCCAGATTGGACAGCAATTGCTGAAGGGAAAAATAACGAAGGCTGTCCACAATTTGTGCTTGGTAGGTATTATTATACATAATATCAATATCTAATTCAATATTATAATCGATAATTCAATATCAATATTATTATACATAATATATAATATCGATTAGACATAATATCAATATGCATAATATCTGATATTGATATTTCTGATCGATTACATAATTTACATATAATATTAGCAAAACTAGTTTTTTTGATCGTTTATTTGATCAATATTAAATTATATAAATGCATTCCGTAAATTACTAATTATTTGATTAGCGGAATTTGCGGAATTAGCGGTACGCAATGGTAAGCAAAAAAAGAAGAAATGACATTTATATATGCTAGTGATAATAATAATTAATAATGGCAATAATAATAATAGTAGTAATAACAGTGGTAATAATAATTAACTAATAATAATTAAGTAATAATAATTAAGTGATAATAATTAAGTGATAATAATTAAGTGACGATAATTAAGTAATAATAGTCAAGTAATAATAATTAAGTAATAATAATTAAGTAATAAT